GAAAAACAATATCCACGACAGCAACCGGTCACAGGGACTGACCAAAAGTCAAACTTTTTGCAGTTATATAATGTTTTATAAAGTCAACGCGATCACCGGACTATTTCTCAATTAGGTATCAGTTACATGACCAAAACTCCAATTTTTCATATTCATATATATATATATATATATATATGATGTGGTTCAAATGAGAACCAAGTCTTATTGTCAGAACCGTGAGAACGCCTATTTTTAATTGTGCGTATAGTGTTATGATTGGTTGCATTTGGTGTTATTTTTACCTAAGATGAATTTTATTAAAAATAGCAACACAATTTCTGTTAGCATTTGTAAAAATGATAGCATCATCTAATATGAAAAATAACATCATGCATAATTAAAAATAGCATAAAAAACGGTTCTCACACCAGAACTAGTTTTGTTACGATATAACTATTTTGAGTTATATTTATCATAATTAGGATTGTTACATGTTAATTATATTGTAATGGCATTAAATAGGTTCTATTTTCCGGTGGCTCGGCCGGTGGATTGGCCACGCTCTTGCACTGTGATGGCTTTCGGGAACTTTTTCCGAGCAGCACTACAGTAAAATGCGTCGTTGATTCCGGTTTCTTCATCCACGCGTAGGACTTTTACTTATAATTCATTTTATTTGACGATCGGAAAAAATAAATTGCGATATAAATGTTGATAATTAATAATAATAATACTTTAATTTTTTGTGCTTGCATTTAATTTGCTAATAATTAACAGACCAAAACTCCGTGGAGCTGAAAAGAGAGCCAACATGTTCGCCACAATTGCTCAATATCATGTACGTTATTATTTATTAAGTTGCACTTTTGTTTCAAAATAATATTTCATTTTTCACATTATACCATTTATGCCTGTTTTGTATGTTTTTATATTATACACATATTCTGGTGTGAGAAAGTATTAGTCCAGATTAAAATTTTATTTTGTAAGAAAATTAACGTAAAGTTTTAAGGAAATGAAATGATTCTACATGGAATATTGTATTTGAAATAAGGTAAATTATTACGAGTAAGTTTGAGATTTATACGTTTATTTGTTTATTTATATTCTGTACAGGGATTTACTGATAAGTTGCCTCCATCATGCACTTCAAAAAGGAATGCAAGTTTGGTAAGTTAATAAACAATTTAGGATTATATTAGCACAAGAATAGTTTTAATACAAACTCAAAATTTCATTAACTCAATCTCTCTTTCAAAACTAATCCTGATTAACAAAAAAGAAAATCAAAACAAGAAAACTTATTAACAAACTCAGAAGCACAGTTTTAAAAACTGGACTGGACTGTACCAGCCAATTTGATTAGAGAAACGATCACATGAGATTTGATCCTTACCAAAAAACCGTTTACCAAAAAACCCGGGTCTTTGACTAATTGACCCAACCAAAACCGGTCGGTTATTGTGATTCAATTTTTTTCTTCTTTTTTCATTTTAATGAAAAACAATGTAAATATAAAAAAAATATATATATAATTATTGAGATATGTATAAATTTTTATATCATCAAATTTAGGAATTCACGTGATTTAAAGTACCCAAATGCATAACTAATGATGCTTTTCTATAATAAAATTAGTATTTAAAACTCAATAGAATATTTATAAAATTATTAATTAAATAACAGTCCAACCGATTCAATCACTGGTCGGACTTATGACTCTATCGTTCCTTGACCAGTTTGATTTTGAAAACCTTGCTATGAAGTTATCATTTTAATTTTTCAACAATAAAAATTTAAAAAAAAAAATCATTTACTGACATATAATTTTTGTTTCCCGAAAATACAGTGCGTGTTCCCTGAATATATTGTAAGAGATGTTAAGACACCACTCTTTTTATTGGAAACCAAATTCGATACTTATCAGGTATGTTTACATAATATTTCACATTTCCAACAAAATAAAATAAAATACAATAATTTTATTTTCTAAATCATACACATAACTATTTATTTATTGATATATTTCAGATAGGAAATCTCTACCTATCAGATGACAAAAACACTATTATTAAAGCATGCTCGCAAAATTTCACTCTTTGCACTCCTTCTCATTTCCAAATGATGAAAGGTACTTTTTTTTCTCGTCATTTTCTCTCTTTCTTCCTTTTCAGTAATAACTATTATGATTTGTCTGCATAATTTTTTCAGATTATGGTTCGGCCATTACCGAATTGTTGCAAGAAATCCGAGACACTTCATCAATAGGAATGTTCGTTCACCCGTGCTTGCGCCATGGCCACTTCAGTTCGAATCTTAGATGGAATTCATCGTACAAGTTGAAAAATAAAGTGAGATCGATACTTATATACATATATATATGTGGGCAGAAATGCGTGTTTAGTCCTATTAATTTAACGGCATAGCAATTTTAGTCCCAATGTTCCAATTTTTTGTCTTTTCGTCATGTTATTTAATATTTTGTTGCAATTTCAGTCCTTTGAAAACTCAAATTGCAATAAAATTTTAATTACGTGACTTAAATTGCAACAAAATTTTAAATTATAAGACTTAAATCACTAACAAAAAATTTGTTAAGACTAAGAGAGAATGCATAGAGTAGAGACGAGAAAGATGTCTATTTTCCATTGCTTGTAATAGTGAGATTACATCCAATATATCCAATATATAGAGGTTGTAAGAGATAAAAAAAAAACTAATCAAATCAAATATCTAATTACCAAAATAACTACTACCAAATCAATATCATATCAAATCAAAGATATTTTAATAAAATAACTAAAGCCTACCTTAACAAAATTCATTCCAAGGATGTAAATTTGGGTTTTTTTTTTTTTAAATTCAGTCCTCAAAGGACTGAAATTGCAGCAAAATATAAATCACATGATCAAAAGGCAAAATGATAGAATCTTTGGATTAAAACTGTTATGGCGTTAAATCAGCAAGACTAAACATGTAATATAGCCTACATATGTGCATACATTTTACTTCATTTTTTTATTTTTTTTATTTCAGTCTTATATAAAACATTGACAAACGTTTCGTGCATTATGACCTTACTAAAATGGTGATATAGGTCCATTTACACACATTAGGGAGATATTTGGAGATTATGATTTATGTATTTTGTTTTATGTTATTTTTACTTCTTCCTTTGCAAGAAATTTAATGTGCTCAACATTTTGTAGTTTCATTAATTGCTTATTAAAAGTGTAAATTGCTATTGATTTGCAGACAATTGCAGAAGCTGTTGGTGATTGGTACAACGATCGGGACTGCACTACATTTCAAGAAATAGACACCGACCATGAATTTCCTCTAAATACAGACTGCACAAAACTTCCGAATATGTAAAATCATTGGATTTTCACCGGCGAATATTTATATTCATCAAACATTGATATTTCGAGATCACCAAATAAAATTGTAAGCAAAAGGGAAAATGATTATTTTCAAATGGTTGTGTATGTGAGCTTGTCTTTCTATGGATATGAATCCATTATATATATTGATTATTGACTAGTCAACGTACTAATTATATATAAATTGGTAGTTGAATCATCTTTCGGACTGAGATAAATTTTTTTTTTTTTGAATCATGTATGGAATAACATGTATTTCTCACAATCTTTAATTTAATAGCAATGAAGGTGATATTCATAGGGGGTGTTAACAAGTCAAGTGAGCTCGAGCCTTTATCGAACTAAATAAGTTATAGTTCAGTTTGTTTATCAATATTGGCTAGTCGAGTTTTAGCATTAACAAGTTGAAGTATAAAAAATTATATAAAAAATTCTATTTTCGAGTTTTATAAAACGAGCGACCCAAGCTCACAAGCATGTCGTTTCATTTAATAACTATAATCATACAAATTCATGGCAATGACAAATTAATCTCTTACATAAAATGGATAATAACAAAAGTAATGTCCTCCGAGCTATAGAGCTAATCTCCGAGGAAGTCTCCTACATCCCCTCTCTTTTTGGCTGCAAACATATATAAATACAAATTTATCACAAAAGTCCAAACAAAATAAACGTGCATAAGTCTGCTTTTTCACCAATGTATATAATATTTAGGAGAAACCAATTTGTTGAATTGAAAACATAACATATCCTTGTGCAACACACAAAAAAAAAATAAAAATAAAAATAAAATAAAAAAAAATAAAAAANATCAACATGTACAGTTAACTTGTTTCATAAAACTATTTAATGTAATTACAGTAGGATTCTTATCACTTGAGTAATTTGTGGAATTTCAACAAATTGGCCGTCAAAGTTTATACCATTTCCTATTGTAGCCATTGCTATAGAAATCATGGGCTAATTAACTAACCTTATAGCCTGGTTTTTTCTTGATATATCATTTTCTTATAAAAAAATAAATAAAATAATAATAACAACTATCAAGAACCTAATTAAATATGTAAATAGATCATAGAAAAATTTTCACTTCAACATATAGCAATTTTTTTTATATTATAGGTGAGTCCCTTGCGAAAAACAACATATGCTTCAAATACGTCGGTGTTCAGAGGAGCCAAAAAGAATGCGATGGCGTGTGCAAAATAAGGTTTCATGGCAGTGGAATATGTGCCCTAAATGCTCCCGACACTGTACAAGAGGCTCGACCCATCTGGTTCGAGTCGAACAAGGCAAAGAGAGGACCGGCGGCCGTCTCGGTTTGCCACTGCACATGCCAATTCTATAAGAAATCAAACCAGAAAAACTCCCCCTAAAAATAACTCTTGTGTTATTGTGTTTGCTGTATTATTGTTGGAAATAAATGATACAAAGGAATATATAATGCTCAATGATATGATTTGGTTTTCGATTTTTATCTATTTTTATTCTCGACGTTGAAACACGAAACAGAGAGCGCCACACATCGGATGAGCCAAAAACTAATCGGACTGAAAATTTCACTGCAAAACCTCTTGATGAACTTTTGATTCTTCATTATTCGAAAGAAATTGGAGATTTAGTAGTGACACCAAATTGATAAATAGTCCGGTGGTTGCGTTGATTTTACAAAACATCCTGTAACTGCAAAAAAAAAACCTAACTTTAATCCTTCACCGGCAAAAGCCGGCCAATTTGACCGGCTGTCGAGTTGGATATGTTAGTCCGTTGCCAGGTGTACAAAAAAAAAAATAAAAAATAATATTCACGTCAGAAACCAGTCACTGCCTTTTGCCAGTGGAAGAACCAAAAGTCAAGTTTTTTTGTAGTTACAGGATATTTTATTAAGTCAACTCGACCACCGGACTATTTCTCAATCAGGTGCTAAATCTCCAATTTTTTTCTCATTATTCAGTTGACGAAAATACTCGTCAACACCGACTATACATGAGCTTGACTTGCACAATACCGATTTCAACTCTAAATTTACACACATCCAATATTTCGACTATCAACCATCATCAACTGGCTTATATTCGAACAAAGACCAATTAGTTCCTAAATAATATACAACAAACCGAACAAACTCCACCTCAACATTCATTCAACCAGTCGCCACGTGGGAATGGCCACGAGATGCTTTTCTCGACCGGTCACCATCCCAAAATGCTCCGTCATATCCAAATCCACACCTGCAAACAACCGGGAAGTTCCCAATCGAAGCAATGCACCAACTGAGCCACCACCAAACGAACCACCGTTAACCCTAACTGCAACCCAGGGCACCCACTTCTTCCCGAACCAAATGGTATAAGCTCGAAATCTTGCCCTTTTAGATCCACTCTCTTCTCAATAAACCTCTCGGGTATGAACTTTTCAGGGTCGTGCCAGACGTTATTGTCCCTTCCTATGGACCACACATTCACTATTGTTCTCGATCCTTTGGGGACGTGATAGTCATTTAGCATGCAATCTTCAGTGGGCTCGTGGATCAACAATGGGACTACTGGGTGGAGCCTGAGAGTTTCCTTCACGACCGAGTTCAAATACTCGAGCTTGTCAAGGTGGGGTTCCTCTACTTGATGGTCCATGCTTACTACTTGCTCTATTTCTCTCTGGAGTTGCTTTAGACAGTTTGGGTGCCGAATGAGCTCAGAGAGTATCCACTCGATTGTTGCGGCTGAAGTGTCTGTTCCTCCAACAAGCATGTCCTGAAGGATAAAAATCAAAGATAGGTGAACTCATTTTTTCTTAATCTTGATTGTTAAAATCCATTTTTTTTTTTTCGAGTGTATCATATTATGATCAATTCTCCCATTTGCCACCACAAAAGCATGTTTCTTGGTTGGAACCCAGAAATGAGCAAGGAAGGTAAAATACTAAAATGGACAATTCTTTTATAGGTGTAGAAAAGCAGAACTCATTCGGGCAATATATCAAACGCATACAGGGCACCTACCAACAGCACAGCCTTTACATGGCAGCGGTCAAACTCGAACTCAGCCTTGCCGGACTCCAAGATACCCATCATCGTGTCCACAAAATCCCGATCCCCTTTCCATTCTCCCTTACTCGCAACATGATCGTCAATAATCCTCTCCAAAAACCCATCAAAAACCCTGCTCAATTCCTTCATCCGCCGGGTTAGCCCCTGCAGATCGACCGCCCCCATGAACGGGAAGAAGTCCCCGAGGTTCGGCAGCGCCGCCACCTGCAGGGTCTCCTCAATGACGGCCTTGAACCCTTTCTCGTCGAGATCGCCGTCTTCGTATTTCCTCCCGAAAACCATCAGACACGTCAAGTCCCCGCTCAGGCCCGAGACCCTCGCGCTCAGATCCACGGGCTCCCGCCTCCCGGCGGCCCGCCGGAGGGAGCCCACCAGGTTTCCGAGCTCGGCCCGCCTCACGGCCCGAAACTCGTCGATCCTCTGGCTGCTGAGCAGGTGGAGGGAGGCCAGCCTGCGCATGTTGCGCCAGTAGGGGCCGTACGGCGCGAAGAGGATGTTTTTCCGGCCGTAGCTCAGGTGCCTGGCGGCCTGGTGGTTGGGCCGGCCGGCGAAGACGAGGTCGTGGGCTTTGAGGACGAGCTCGGCGCCGGCGGGGGAGGAGACGACGACGGCGGGGACGAGGCCCAAGCGGAGGGACATGATGGGCCCGTGTTTTTGGGCCAGATGGTGTGGGCCCGGCGCCAGTTTTTTCTTGGTCTTCCATCCCCGGAGCTTCTGATGAAGAAACCAGAGGAATAGCAACACAGAGGTCACTGTCCAAAACCAGGCCATTGTTGTGTTTTTTTTTTTCTTCTCTGTCGCGTCACTAGCGTGTGTCCAATGAAATAGTGGACTCAATCACAATGAATTGAAGTGTTTCAATTTTCAAACCACTCATATAATACATTATCATTGTACATTATAAAAATAGAATATCCTCAAACTGCTCTAAGGATGTAGCTGTTAATCGAAACGAGTCGCTTGTAAGTTCAACTCGTTAAGAATCAAGTTCAAACAAGCCGAACTCGTTTAAAGTTTGTTTAGTTAATAATTCTTGCCGACTTGTTAAGGCTCGAAAAGACAAATTTTTATATAATTTTTTATAGCTCAGCTCGTTAAATACTCACTCGCCCAAAATTTTCACAGTGTCCAGCTCCCTAGTGTATGAAATGCATCACAATTCTAAAAGTTATAAAAAGTCTCTAAGAATGTTAGTTGAATAAACACTTCTTAGTGAAATTTTTTTATTAATTACACATTACCAAATACTATCATTTTTCTTAACAGCAGCCGGGACTACAGTAATTCTTGCACAGACAATAACAATGGTTGTATGATTTGGCTTATCTCCATAAGCCATGGTTCACACTGCAATAATTGTTCAACTATTATTGTAATCGCCATAGTTATTACTTATGCAATCTGTATGAAGGTATAGCCATGAGATGTGTAGCCCTAGCCGTCACCAACCCGAAATTTTCAGACATGTCCAGCTCGTCAGCAGACATCCCGTTTGGAAGTTCCCAATCGAAACAATGAACCAATTGGGCCACGATCAATTGAACCGTCGTCAGGCCCAATTGCAGCCCAGGGCATCCCCTTCTCCCAGAACCAAAAGGTATGAGCTTGAAGTCTCGTCCCCGAACATCCACATTGCTGTCGAGAAACCTGTCGGGCAAAAATATCTCCGGATTTTCCCAAGCACTTGGATCCCTTGCTATGGCCCACACGTTTACCAAGATTCGAGCATTTTTCGGTATATGAAACCCGTCAACTTCACAATCTTCCATGGACTCGTGGATTATTTGTGGGCCGACTGGGTGGGCCCGCATTGATTCTTTGATGACGCAATCGAGGTACTTGAGGCTCGGGAGATGGGATTCTTCGACCATCCGGTTCATGCCCACGGTTTCTTGTAACTCTCTTTGCAACTTTTTCATTACGGTTGGGTGACGGATGAGTTCGGACAGGGCCCATTCGACCGCTGCCGATGATGTGTCCATTCCTGCTAGCAGCATATCCTGCACTTATTCGGGATTCGTGTCGAAAAAAAGGAAATATTAGTGACAATTTGTACTAGAAAATAAGATTAAATGTTGCACTTAGAACTCAGTTTCTGACGCAACCCACAAACTTGTTAGTAGGGATGCAGACGAGTCGAGCGGCTCAGGAGCCGCTCGCGAGCGCCTAAGTCAATGCTCGACTCGAGCTCGAGCAATTCAATCAAGCAAACGAGTCCAGCCTCGAGCGTCATTTCAAGAGGCTCGTAAGCTCGACGAACGGCTCAATCTTTTAGTTACATAAATATCTCATATAGTTTAATTATCAATATTAGAACACCGGCCAAAAAATTGTAAGATAAAAATAGTACCTTCCAAATTTATATTTAATTGTTAAAATTTCAAGCCGAACTCGAGTCATGTCGAGCATCTAGTCGAGCTCGAGCATTCTTATTTTTTTACACAAGTCGAGTCGAGCAGCATTTTAGTCGAGATTGAGCTCGAGAAGTGGAGAAAAAAGTTCGATCTGCGCTCGACAATGTCCATGCTCGACTCGACTCGACTCTTTTGCAGTCCTCTTTGTTAGTCACGACACGATTTTTGAGTTACAGTGTGTCACATTGAATATGTTTCATTAGTGAACAAAAAAACTCCACCTAGTAACAAAATTGGCCTTACCAATAGCACGGCCTTGACATGTCGTCGGTCGAATTCGAATCCAGCTTCACCGGACTCCATAATCCCCATCATCGTGTCCACGAAATCTTTAGTCTCTTTCGTCTCGTCTCTATTCTTTACATGATCATCGATAATCCTTTCCAAAAACCGGTCGAAAATCTCACTCAATTTCTTCAACCTACGACCCGAGCCCTGAAGGTCGAACCTTCGAAGATTAGGAAAATAATCTCCGAGGTTAAAAGCCGAGGCCTCTTCCATCGTCTCTTTCAACACGTCTTTGAACCCTCTCTCGTCCAAATCCCGGTCGGAAAATTTCTTGCCGAAAACCATTAGGCAAGTCATGTCGGCACCTAAAGACATAATCTTCGCGCTCATGTCGACTGTTTCTTTGTTTTCGGCGGCATTTTTTAGTGAATTTACTAGGAGTCCGAGCTCGGCTTCCCTCATTGGCTGAAATTGACTGATTTTAAGGTTGCTTAATAGTTCAATGGTGCAGAGTTTTCGCATGTTGCGCCAGTAAGGGCCGTACCTGAGGTTAGAAAATGAGGTCTTATGAAATTCACATGTGCAATTTTTTAGTATTTGAAAAATGAGTTGAAATTTTGTGGGTTTATTTATTTATTAATTATTGAATTCGAGATTTTGTTTGAACTTTTGAAATAGAGTTTCAATGAATTTTCTAAGCCGGGATGGTCCCCCGTTAGAAGATCATGACAATTTCATGTCGGAAGCTTATTAATCATTATTGTAGATTTTCTTGTCGATAATTAGGATAGATATTTTGTTGATTTTGGAAAATGACTAACAACCATATTTAAGAAATATAGTTAAAATGAAGCTTATTTGTCACTATTGTACATTTTCTTGACAATAATTGGGATGGATAAAATCCCTATTTTGTTTTTTTTAGGAAATGACTAAAAAACATATTTAAGAAAAATAGTTAATGTAACTAAAGTTGATTTGATAAAAAGAATATCAATGTAATGGTTCTGTCTAATTAATTAGGGCCATGTGAGTTTTAAGTTTTAAGTATGACAACAAAAGAATAAAAAACTATTACAAATTATGTTGCTACTCAAACAAAGGAAAACAACAATTCACAATATTAAGTATGATATAATCAAGATACAAACATTTATATCTTCTAAAAGTAAGTTTTCTATTTGGTGGTTAGGTGGTTGGTTAATCATACTTTTCCAATAAATACACATATTTTTATATTTAGAATCATACTTTAAAATAAAATATAAAAAAAAAAAATATGAACATTCATAGTATAAATGTGATTTTATTGTCGGAAAGGATGGTTGTCCAATGGTTCGACACCATAACAACAACAGTTGTGATCTAAGAGCATCTCCAATGCTATGGTTTTTGAAAGGCAATAATTTCTAACACATGTCAATTGATGATTGTAATGTTAATCCACGTAGGAATAATGTTAAAAAGACTAAAAATTTGAATCAAACTAGTATCTCCAATGCACTAATTTGATAAGAATTTATTTGTATAGGTGTACCAATTATAATAATTCATTGATACAAGAATAACAAAAAATTAAACCAAATATAAAGTGAATTAATGAGTCATCATGTTTAACATGGTGTTAGATATTAGAAAGTGAGTTCAACATTGTCAACATTAAATGCCATCCACATCATCATGAAAGAGCTAATGACAAGATGCATTGGAGAATAAATTAGTAATAAACTTTCAAAAGTTGATGATATGGATAATTTTTTGCAATGTCAAAAGTCACATTGGAGATGCTCTAATATACAGTATCTATAACATTAGTAGAATTAACAATTCTATGTATTTGACTAATAAAGTTTTCTATTAAATCCTATATGTAAATATCTATCACATTTATTATATACTATTTTCAGCAACTTTTACATTTTACATTTTAATTTTAATTCATTATCAAAAAATTGGATGGTTCCTAAATTAATGGGTTTTAAATGCACGTATCATGTTTCAAAAATTATAAATCATTTAAAATCGGAGGGTTCCTAAATTAATGGTTACAAATTTTTCAAAGTTGTAATCTTTATGACATCTTTTCTTTTTGACTTAGTAATAAAATTATTTTAAATATATATATATTCTAATCTAAAAATTCAATCATGTTAAATATATATATATATATATATTGAACGCTAAAAATATTTTTTAAATTGCATACTCAATCAATTAATCTTAATTTTTTTTAAAATTACTATGTTTATTTTTTATTAATATGCATAAAATAAAAATAAATAGTTCATCTTTAGATATATAAGTTATAATCTTAATATACTACCATTTTGTGTAGACATATGAATCATAAAATATTTTTATTTCATAAAATTAAATACTATATTTAAAGAAAATAAGAAAATTACTTTGGATCAATCGGGTGATTGAATTAGGGTACTGCCCACTTTGATTGAATTACTTTTAGGTGATATTTAAAATAGTCAAAAAACTTGACACAACTTGGTTGGTCCGAGGTAACTAAGTTATGTAACAGTTTGACCAGACCAAATTGATTATTGAACCTAAATATAAATTTTAATATTGAAAATACTTTATTACGTGAATGTGATGTAGTCCAAACTTCAAATAATCATATTAACAATACTTTTATGACAACATGAATAATGATTTATGAATATTTATATATCATTCTATTATTATTTATGTGAACGAAATATTTATTTCATTATCGTTTTTGTTAATGTACGGTAAATATAAGATTTTCAGAATCGGACCGTCTTGTGGTTGTTCAGATTTTAATACATAATACTTTAATATATATATATAGTACTTTTTGTAATAAATTTAAATAAAAAGTGTTACTTAAATATCTAAACAATTTATAAATTCAAATGTTTAAACTAATTGATAAACAATTTATAAATCTCTATTTTAATTAAATATGTAATTTTACTTAAAATAATTTTTCATGTAACAAAATTTGCTTAGAAAATCGTATCGATCTTACCAATCCAACATACTGGTGTTGACGGATTCGATAGTAAATATTTTATTCAAGTGCACTAAATCGGTTATAAACCGGTTCTCGATCCATCCGGTCGGACTGTGTCCAACCCGGTTTAATTTATAAATAATGGGTAAATCATGATTAATGTTATTTATTTATTTAATTTATAATACAATCAAAATATTATTTTCCCGTGCATCGCACGGGCCACGTACTAGTAATAATAAACATAAACTAAACCCCAAAACGAAATTTTTGAAAAGATCAAAATAAACTTTACCTTCCAAAGACTATGTTCCTTTGTTGGTAGCCAAGGTAAGTAGAGGCCTCATGATGAGGCCTATTGGCAAAAACGAGGTCGTGTGTCTTGAGGAAGAGCTCGGCTGCAACTGGTGATGAGACCACTATTGTGGGCACGGACCCAAACCGCAAGTGCATAATGGGCCCATGCTTTTGGGCCAGCCCGTGCAGATCATGGTGCGGGTTCTTGCCCAAAAGGTGGAAATGGCCTATTACTGGCAGACCCATTGGGCCAGGAGGAAGTTTTCCTTTCTTTAGCAGATAATATTGTTGGATGATGTAAAGGAACATGATGGCTAATATGGTGGTTGCCCAAATCCAGGCCATGGTTGTAGTGATTTTGTCAAGTGTGTGTGTGTGTGTGTCTAAGCTATTTTTAGAATTGTATCGAAATTTAAAAAAATAAAAAATGGTGATGAAAGTTGGATATATAGATGAGAGAATGGATAGAAATGATAGGCCAAATGGTCTTCTTTTATAGTAATTTACTAATTTTCAGTTGGGTATTATTTGGTTTTCCCATTGGAAAGGAACCCACATTCAGATTTTGAATTTTATATGTAGGCCGCCTTTAGAATAGAAGGATTGGGTTATAAAATAAAAAATACTTAATTATTTATTGTATATTTTACATGTCAACTGTCAAGGGGGCAAAGTGTTGACTCGAGCTCTTGTAGCAGGGCCACATAAAGCACGACGAACAACAATTGGCTTCGTAACCCTTCTTTCCAATACACTAAGTTGCAACAATCTCTTCAAATTAAATTCAAATTTAACTTGTTTTGTTAGGTCCCATGGTTACTCCATATTACAATGCAATCTTTTGTGTTATGTGACTAAAATATATTTTTAATGGTTTATTCTACGAATTCAGGATATTTATTTAATTTAAATTGTATATTATACATTGTGGAGTATATATTTTTTAATTAACGAATTGCGTAATTAAGACTTACATTTGTTTTATAGAATAACAGATTCAGTTGGTTTAATTTTTTTATTAACAAGCGAGGATTTTGTTGACACAAAAAAATATTATTTTATAGAAAGTCAATTCACTACAATGTTATATATTGGAAAAAATAAAAGTTAGAAAAAGAAAATATATTTATTTAGTATAAATTCTCTTGTGTCTTATCTGATTACACGGAAGTATAAAACAAATATGCGTTAATTTTTGTTCAACTTCGTGTACATTTTATTAATTGATTCCAATTTTCGTTTCATAAATAATGGAATGGTTTTTATTGGGATAAAAAAATGACATTTTTTAAGATAGATGGATTCAATTCACTACAATATTTTATTATTAGAAAATAAAAAATAGAAAAAGATTACTTATTTAATTTAAATGTTTTTGAATGACATTATTGTGTTCTTCAATATCCTTTTAAGAATCAAAGTTTTTGTTAAGATGAATAAAAAATACTATTTTTTATGCTTCGACAAATTTTGTATGCTTGAATAATATCATGGATTCTCACAAGTCAAAATTTGAATCACCATTTGACGAAATTGAAAAAATTTAAAAAATATATGTGATGTTATGTTGTAAAAAAAAATACTTTGACAAATATATATATATATATATATATATTTAAAAAAATACTTAATTATTTATACTATATTTGTAAATAAAAAATACTTTATTGTTTTATACTATTCCATTCATTACCAACTACTTTTATCGAACTACTTATTTATACTCTTAAGTGAATTTTATGAGTATCGCAAATATAAAAATAAATATTGAGATACAGAGCATTATGATATGAGAAAATGCACACATCACTTTGTGTGAAAATTATGCTACCATAAAAAAGGATTGAATACAAAAAATTTCGAATATTAGCTTTTCTAGTAAAAGTTGATGTACAGTTATTAAAAATGTTTATTATTAGACAGTTATATAATTGTTTAACAAATGCACGACGAGATTTATACATTGACTTATCAATTTGACAAGTACAATTGAGATTAATGTATATATTCAATTAATTCTCCAATTTTAATTAAAAAGTATCTAAAATCTTACTAATTTTAATATGTATTAATTCATGACGAGTTTTTTGTTGCTGTTTTTGGTAAACTAGTACAGAGCCCGTGCGATGCACGGGGTGCACAATTTTAAGGCTATTTATCTAGGCTTATAATTATATACATGAATAAAGAAAAATATACGGGATATATATAGTACGTGACCCGTGCGAAGCACGAGACATATTTGTTTGGAGAATATTATATTATAAGATGCAATATTCAATAAAAGTTTATAATACGCAAGAAAATTGTACAATGTTCAAATACCCGTGCGAAGCACGTGATATATTTATTTATTTTATGATTTGATAATATAAACAAATCTATACTTAACTTTGACAAATAAAACAAATAAATACTTTAGTAAGTATTTAATGTATATACTAAATAGGAATATATTTGGTATAATCAAATACTAAATATAATCAAATAAGTCAAAGTGTACATTTTTATTTGGTATTTGATTTTTTTATTATTAATTTTTTTTTATTATACTTACCTTTTTAAAATAAAATAAATAAATAAATCAATTAAATAAATAAAATATTATAATACCAAAATAGTAATTGCATTTAATACAATTGACTTTTCTGGATAGTAAATGTAGTAAATAGAATCTCCTTTTATATAAGTATAGATTGTATAATACGGAAATAGTAATGCAATAAATGTTGTTGACTTTTCCTTATACTAAATCTGGTAAATGGTATACCTTTTAATATAAATACTAGTACAGTACCCGTGCGATGCACGGGATGATATTTTTCTAAACATTTATAAATATTAATGATTAAATTTAGTGAACTTGTTATATTTGTAACAAAAGTAAACACGTTGGGCGCATACGTTTATAAATATATAAATTATTGAAAACTTATTCGTACACAACGTTTTTCTTTTGATTTAGCGTCGAGTCATCGAGACATTAAATTAAACAATTCATGGGACATTAAATTTAATGCACTTTGTAGTTATGTAACTTCTGTAAATTAGAGAAAAACAAATTAAAAACTTCATAAATTAGTAAACACTTCTTTGTACACAACATTTTGGGTCTGATTTGGCGACACGCCATCGTCATTACAGACTAATATTTTCAATCCACTTGGTACAGAACATGCTTTGTACCGCTTAGACGACGAAGTCGTGATTAGTGGAGTAATAATTGTATTTTTCTTTTCATCGTCACTCAAAATATCTATGACAATGCTTTCCGATCCAATAATATTGGAATTCTTCGACCTTTTTTCACGAAAGGTAAGCTGACCTGTATATTTAAATAATACTTAAAATGACACATTAAAAAATTATAAGATATTATTCATAATATATTGATTAATATATATAAACTGAATTATAAATGTAATACCATTTGTAATATCAGAGAAGGGCATAGGATTGGAAGAATTTGATGAACGTCCCGAACCAATAGTCAGCTGAAGTTTACGAATAGTTGATCCAGGACAAATATCAAAATTCATAGTCCCTAATCAAAATAAATAAATTGCAAGATTATTTCCAATTTATTTGTATAATCGATATTTTAAAATGTACATAATTAACTCACAACATTAATAAGAATACTAAAGATAACAAAATTGATCACATCATAACATAATTAATTCACAACATTAATAAGAATACTAAAATAACAACATTGATCACATCTAAACGACAAATATAAATCAATAAATTATTTATAATTCGATTTCTCAGGATATTTAACTATTGTGGATCAACACAATATTCAACATATATAAATTGTACAAAGTATCTAAAGTTTATTAAATATTGGGATAACTAATTAAAACACAAACTTATAGTTAAATACAAGCCCAATAAAACAAATAAAGCAAAACAATTAATTAAAAGTTTGGGCTGCAGATAAATTTAATTAAATAGGCCCGATTCATCAGCCCAATTTTTCTAAATTAGGCCTGTTATATAACCTTTTTTTTTTTAATGTCTATCAAAGGGCAAAATTATAGCACAATTCAACAGCCCAATAATAAAAGCGAATCGGACGGTCATTAGTGGTACACATGTAAGGATCGGACGGCCGTAAATTGTTAGGTAAGAGTATAAAAAGCACGGGCATTGTGTAGGGTTTCCATTTCATTCACCAAAAAGATCGGCGCTTTCTTCACCGCTTTTCTCTCTCATTTTTCGGGTGTATGTCTGATTTCGAAAAAAAGAAATTGAATAAAGAGCCCACAATTTTTTATCATTTGGCTTCAAATACGGAAATTATAGTAGATCTAAGTATGATATATATAGATTTCGTGACGAACGATATGAATTTTTCGATCTTCTCACTTGTTATTTCTTACTATTTTCGTATTGATTATTACGAAAACAATCGGCGACAAAGAGAAGGTTTGTATAATTTTTTTGTTCATTTTATGTTCAATCGATTATTAATTCAATTCTTCGTGTATAGATCTATCATATATTATATTTTCCTTACCAGATCTGTGTAAGATTATAAAAATTTTACTATTTTTTGTACTGAGAATTCAATTTTTGTGATGTCTCAGTGTAGTTTTGTTTGGCATGCAAATTATAATTAATTTCTAATTTTTTATCTGTATTTGAGCACATCGGCCGATTAGAAGATTAATTTGACGGCGAAATGGAAGGCCCAACACTGTCGATATGAGGTATTACATTAGTTAATTGTATACAAATCGAAGTTCTAATGTCTAATCTATAATCTTCTGGGCGTTAATGATTAACTTCGAACTCGAAATTTTTCTTACAATCTGTTGTTTAATCAAAAGGGGAAAACACAAATTGCGGAATTACAGAGGCCATCCGGTTTAAATCCAAGCTGTGGATAAAGAAATCCATCGGCGTCCAATAAAGGTTCGTATATATTTGACATGCGTTCAATTATTTAGATCTGTGTAACCTTATAGTTATTTCTAATTTTGACTCATACATGCGTGAACTTCTTTCAAATTTACCATAAATCTCATTTTGTTATCTGTGTAAGCTTGTAAGTAGTTCACTAATTCGAACGGAGACTTTGTTTTGTTTTACAGAAAAAATGTCAATGTGTGTTTTACATTTGTATTTTTATTTTGTGTATTAGTTTGAATATGTCCGGTCACATTAGAAGATATATTTCACGGCCATATGGAAAGCAAAGCTGAGCAACAAAAACTGCAACAGGATGAGCAATAAAATCGACGATTACCCGAAGGTTCGTAATTTTCGAATTCAGATTTTATAATCGACAATAAATCTAATTTCTATTGTCTATATCTATTTCATAATATACTGTACTTATTTATTAAGTTCGAATTCCAATAATTCTTACAATATCATGTTAACTGCAAGGGCTAAAAAAAATTACGGAGTTAGATGGGCTGTCGGTCCAATTACAACCGTGAAT